TTTTTAATTTTTGTATTTTACAAAGTTTGCTATCGCATGTACACAAACCAAAGAAGTTAGATAATAAGAAGGGACAGCTCGTTATAATTGTAGCGAAAGTAAGTAACAGTGGCGTGCCTTCTCTTTTGCTCTAGTACGTTTCTTGATTGAATGAAAAGAGAAGGCACGCCCCTGTTACTCACTTTCGCTACAATTATAACGAGTTGTCCCTTCTTATTATCTACGTTCTTTGCACAACCAACAGCTGTTATTTCAAATGTACTTCTTGCACATTTCTGCCCGGAAAAAAACTCCGGGCTGTTTCGGGCACGAAGAAGAAGACATTTACAATCCAAAAGTGGAAGGTATTCCCTCTCTTTTACCTATTTTTCTAGCGGGAGGAACACTTTCTGGGCTGTTTTGGGCACCCGCGAGTACCCGCGGGCTCGTGTGGAACAAACCTAATATCTAATATATCTGAATCAAGGACCAAAACCAAACCGAAATTTCAAGTTGGGTACACATTTTTAAAGGCTACATCGGGTGATCAACAATTTATCGATTCGAGAAATTAATGCGCAGATGAGAAAACGAAAACTCGTATATCGAGACGATAAAGTGGCCGGAAAAAAAACACCCCTTAATCTAAATTTTGATTTTAATCTTAACTTTAGAGGGGGCGAAATGCTCTGCCGCCGCCAAAGAAGTTTCACTTAAACAAAAAATCCTTTTGTATAGCAAATATAAATCTTTTTATGAAAGTACCTCCTTCGAAGGGAGTTCTAGCTGGTTTTACTGGTGGTACATCGCCTTCACAGCCACTCCAAGACATTGCTGCTACACGGCGGTTTTCGCGCCGCATCGTCTCAGAATCGCTAATTTTTTCATCCACCAAAATTTCACTGCAAAAAAAATAAATTTTAGTATTTAAAACTGCACGACCACCAGCTCACTTACTAGAGAGTTTCTTTAATTCTCTGGAACGTAGGTCGTTTAGACGGCTCATGCGCCCAGCATTGTGACATAAGCGAATACAATCGCGGCGGACAATCTTTTGGCAACGGTAAACGTTCGCCATTTTCCAATTTGGTAATGACATCACTATTTTTGATACCCTGAAATGGCTTAACACCCAGCATAAGAATTTCCCATGCACAAACACCTGCAAATTGAAAATAGTTATATACTATGCACTGATTAAATATACATATGTATGCATCTATATCGGCAATACCAAACATCCAAACATCGCTTGCGTTTGTAAATCTACGAAAGTTGATCGACTCTGGCGCCATCCACTTTATTGGCAAAATACACATGCTCGAATGGTAATATGATTGATCCGACACCCAACGTGAGAGACCGAAATCAGCAAGCTATGCATTAAAAACACACAATAAACTCAATCAAACGAGCAAATCAACAAAATTGTTAGACACAAAAAAATTTTAAACTTTTATACTTAATCAAAATTTGTGTATACATAAATAACGTGTTTTACCTTGATACACGTCGGCGAACTCACAAGCACATTTCGTGCCGCAATATCTCTGTGTACGAACTTCTTAGATTCCAAATAACTCAAAGCTGTGGATAACTGGTAACAATAGAGGAGCAGAGTGCCACGCTTTAGCCTAAAGATAGAAAGTTAAAAATAATTAATAAGCATGCGTTGCTATCCGACCTCGGATGTGAACTTTCGTGTTGAGTTCAGCGATGGATGGGATAGATATTGTCGTTGGCTTAATAAACAATGGAATTATACAGATTTGTCGCCCACAACAACTATTGCCTATTGGCGTGATCTTGAAGGCGCAAAAATTGAACATATTCTGATGGCGGATTTGTATTTTGACAACTGGTTGAAGACGCGCTTGAATGAGGGTGCATGCTTGCCCTTATTGTATGCAGGTGGCAATCGTTTTATAAGGTTGGAAAAGGATTTTCCAGCTGGGTTCAGATGCGCTCCTTTGCCAATGAATCTTAAGGAATACAGAGAAATGCAGGCCATAGTAAAAGGTATTTAAATCTGCTTTCGAAAGTTAAGGGAAAAGTAATCTTATATAATGAGATTTTACAGTAGTTAGGTCATGGTATCATTTACAGAGCACCGAAATTGCGCTTATGGAAACTTTGCATTTAGACATTATTTCGGTTTCAACCGAAACTGTGCATGCATGCTTTACTTCGTTTTTTGTCATATGCATTATTTCGGTTTTTAGTTATTCGTTTTTTTTTTATTAAATACCGTTATTAACACTATATAAAAATTTTCTAGCCAGTAGCTCGTTTATGTAACTCTTCTCTACCGATTATTTCTCCACTGGTAGAAAGTATACGTCAATGATTCCCAAAGTGGTCCAGGTGGACCCCCAGGGGTCCACGGGAGACTCGACGGGGGTCTACGTTGGCGTTAAAAAAATATGGGGGTCCATGAGTTGTAAGTAGGGGTCCACGACAATGCATCTGGTTTCGATAGTAAAGAATCAAAATAGTTGCTTGATAGCCTCTTCATTTAACTTTAATTTCTTCGAGTGGTATATAGTGCTCTTGACGCACTGCCGCACTTACCGTCACTTTGTGTCTTCATACGTGGGGAAGGCCACATGCAGACTAAAAAGAAACGGATGTTGGTCTGACACTGAGTGAGGCGAAGATTTTTGAGCACTTGTGTCTATAATTCTGAGTTCCCTGAGGGGGAATGCTGGTTTAATTGCAACACTGAGCCCGAACTCACACACTGACTCTGGCCCAGGAGCTGGGATCTTTTTCGAAGTTAATGGGGATAAACTTCACTTTTCTCGTACGGAATATGCTTCGGTCTTCCAGCTGAAGTAGTTGCAATCCAGTTCGACCACAAACACCGTGACCCGATATTTTTATATATTACATTTTTCATACAAATTTACTAAAAATTCTAAAATAAAAAAATTTAGACAATTATTTTAGGATAGGGATACCCTAATCGCCAAATCCCAGTACTCTATCGTGAACACTGCTAGAGATGTGCAGTATGAATAATTCGTTTTGTATGGGAGGAGCCACGCCCCCTTTTCCAATAACCACAATTTTTCTCCATGACTATGCGGTTGCTTTCATTTATCTCCATACCATGTTAGAGTCCTGTTCCATGACCATTTTTCGGGAAATGTAGAATGAAAAATTCGGTTTGTATACATACACGTATGTATGTATAGCATGTGCCACGCCCCTTTTTCAAACAGCCCCAATTTTTGTTCATGACCTTGTGATTGATTTCATACATCTCCATACCAAGCTCTACACCTTTTCCAAGAGTACTTCAGAAAGCATCAAATGTACTTCAGAATAGTCATTTGTACTTCAGAAATATTAAAATGTACTTCAGAATAGTAAATTGTACTTCAGAAAAAGTAAAATGTAATTCAGGGTAGTCAATTGTACTTCAGAAACCGTAAAAAGTATTTCAGAAACTGTA